GGACAGACGGTAGAAAAAAAAAAAAATAGATAGTCAGAGAAAATGCAAAAAGTATCAACGGCACAGGTATAGCCTCAATAGCACACACTTTTTACACTGAAGAGCAAAAAAAAAAAGCGTAATTAAATAAATAAAACAAAAACAAAACAAAGAGGAAATAGATCACAGGTCTTGATGGCATCTACACACAAAGTGCTACTTCTTCTCATTCTCCTTGGCCTCCTTTCGCTCTGCACGAGCCCTGCGGGCACCAAAGAAGCGAACCGCGCTGTGGTTCTTCTTGAGGAACTTGTACACGTTCTTTGTGCGCTCCTCCTCCGTCAGCTTGCGCGGGGCCTCGGGGGCTGGCGTCACAAGACCACCAACAGCCGCAGTGCCGAAGCGGGTGCGATCCTGAGCGGCGGCCTTCATCTCCTCCTCGGTGGCCTCACCCTTCCGTACGTTCTTGGAGCTCATAGGGAATAGCACCAGCTTGCTCATGTACGTCTTCAGGCGCTGGATGTTTATGTTCATGCCCTCCTCACTCTTATTCTTGCGGCGGCGATCCACGCGAATGCCAATCGTCGGGGCAACACGAGGGTTGACACCGGCTGCCTTCAGCTCCTCAACGGTGAAGCCACGGCCCAGGCGCTTCTTCATGTTGTGACGCACCGTGGGGCAGTTCACCTGCGGGCGCAGCGCCTTCAGCGGACGCGGGAACGTCTTCTTCGCCTTCAGCAGGCGAAGGCGACGACGGCGCTGCTTCTGCGCGGGTTGATTGAGAAAGACCTTCAGGTTGCCCTTCTGCGAGGAGCACGGGTTCCAGTGCTTCCTCCGGTGCACATGGGGGATCGCGTTGTTTCCCTTCGGCATGGCGTTGCTGCTCTAAAGAGGGCGACAAAATTGAGAAATAGAGGACAGCGGTAGAAAAAAAAAAAATGATAGTCAGAGAAAATGCAAAAAGTATCAACGGCACAGGTATAGCCTCAATAGCACACACTTTTTACACTGAAGAGACAAAAAAAAAAAGCGTAATTAAATAAATAAAACAAAAACAAAACAAAGAGGAAATAGATCACAGGTCTTGATGGCATCTACACACAAAGTGCTACTTCTTCTCATTCTCCTTGGCCTCCTTTCGCTCTGCACGAGCCCTGCGGGCACCAAAGAAGCGAACCGCGCTGTGGTTCTTCTTGAGGAACTTGTACACGTTCTTTGTGCGCTCCTCCTCCGTCAGCTTGCGCGGGGCCTCGGGGGCTGGCGTCACAAGACCACCAACAGCCGCAGTGCCGAAGCGGGTGCGATCCTGAGCGGCGGCCTTCATCTCCTCCTCGGTGGCCTCACCCTTCCGTACGTTCTTGGAGCTCATAGGGAATAGCACCAGCTTGCTC